AATATACTTAGAATTAGCTAATAGAGTCTAAAAGAGAGTTGTAGTACTTGTAAATACCTACGTGTGCATATAAAGAACGTCAAAAACGGAGTTCGTATGTGAAAGTTACGACCTTCCGAAGATTCAGTTGTCAGAAACCCTAATCTGACTGAGTTCACGACGTGAGCACAGAACTCATGACGTGAGGAGTTATTTATCCACATCTCAGAATCTAGAAGGTGTGTGACAAGGCTGCGAGGGGATAAGGTCCAAACTCACGATGTGAGCAGAGATATCCCACAACCTGATGAGTCACATGGCCACCTTCCGAAGCTAGCGACACAAATGGCAAGTCTACGGGGATAAGATCCTAAGTCACGACGTGGGCCTTATAAAACCCACGATGTGGGGGTCCAAAATCCCTACTATAAATAGCAGGTCCGACTTCAGCCATTCTTACACCTAAAATTCTTTCTCCTCTCTCCTTTGCTGAGGCTATCTTGCATCCCGAGCCCCGACGACCTTGTACGCTGACCGTTTCTGCTTAGATTACATAAAATCACGCTACTAGGGTGAGTTTCACGACCCCACTTTCTAATATTTCGGGGGAAAACGCATTCTAAATATTATATATACGTTATTATTATGTCTATATGATAGTATATAGTTATAATAGCCAGGTATAGTTGTTCTAAATATAATATTTTGAATATATACAACTATTATCAACCTGTCGGCATGTTATTTTACTAATGTAGATCATGAGTTATACTTAGGATTCTATATATATGTTGTGTGCGATATAGTTCCGAAGTTATATTCGGAAGTTCTATATGTTAAGTTATAAAGTATGTTGCTATTATTGGTTTTATATCAAGATAAAACTTGGTATGTTATATGTTGTTATTGTTAGTTTTATGTCAAGATAAAACTTAGTATGTTATATATTGTTATTGATAGTTTTATGTCAAGATAAAACTAGGAATGTTATATGTTGTTATTATTGGTTTTAGGTCAAGATAAAACATGGTTTTACTTCAAGATATAGCTGTTATACTGCCTAAATGTTATGAAGTTAGGAGTAATGTTTAAAAGCATAGTCTAGTAACTTAGGGTTTTAGACATGAAAATGGTTTTGTTGTTAGAGCTATAGGAAGCCGTCGAAGTCTACATGAGTAATTGTATTCATCAACTAAGATTGGGGATCTTAGCGGAAATCCTCTGAACTGTAACCGTTAATCCCGTGTGAGCGAGGAAGTCGAGTATAACTAGTATACGAGTTGACCACCCCACTTGTGACTGTTAGCTACAGTCAACCAAAAGCGAGTGATGAACTATCCTTTTACATGTTATTGTTCCGGCGTCGATGAAGCGTACGGTGTTGTTCTCATGGTAAATCATGAGTGTGTTTTATCAGAGGTATTATGTCATAGCAGCGGTTACAGGCTCATGGTAGCAAATTGTTAGAAGCATTATACTTTGTCGTATACAAGTATTAATGTTAAGTATAAGTTTCCCCCTACTTATACCTTAGGTTTAAGGAATGTTTAGGTATAACACTTAATTGATAAGTAAACTATTATACCTAATATACCTACTAAATGTTGGAGAGTCAAAATGATACTTTCAAACTATACTTTTGAACATGGAAAAATGTATTATTTTATGGATTCAAAACCTGTGGACTCCGCAACTTTATGTTGACGTATTTTAAAATGCATGTGTTTTCAGGAACTTGAAAAGCGGGTATGTATTCGAACAGAAGAAGTTTTACTATTACCTTTCTGTTCATTAAGAAGTATGCCATAGTCGGATATTATGTAATAGGTTCTAGAAAAACAGTTATGTAACTTTCAATTATCAATAAAGGTATGTATTTTCTTAGTACTGTTCAATGTATGTTATATAACTGTGATACGAAGAATGACGTTACACTACTCGGTGTTTCCGTCGATGGCTGGGGGTGTGACATATACACAGATCTAACAGATCACGATAGTGAAGGTTTGTATTGATCGGATACACTCAAGTATGAGAAACAACGAACAAACAAACAAAGAAAAGATTAAACAGAAAACAAAGAACATGAATAATCATAAAATTTTCTTTCACGAAGAAAGGGTTTGTTTTCACCAAGAAAACGGGTTGTCAAAAAGACGGTTACCAAGACATTACGACGCCAAGCCGCACATTAGGGTTTCACCCTAATGTTGTATATATAGTAATATAATATAGTGAATCCCTTCATTAAAGAGATTATATCTAATCTACATATAAATAGATCCTTATCATCAAGATATCAGATCTGTTATCTATTCTATATTTATAGAGTATTACTATCTAATATACAAAGATATATTCCTAATATACAAAGATCACTAAGATTATTGACTTCACGCTGAAGCTGATCATTCTTGAGCTGATGTTGGCGCTGGTGCTAACGTTGGTGCTGATGGTCAACATGTAATTATGTTTGACTCATCAGTTCATAAGGTGTGACCTTATAATCCCCCCTTATCTGATGATGTCAAAACTAATCTTCAATAAATTCTTCAGCTTGTGCTCCCTCCTGAGAGTAAGATTGAAACTTTAAGTTCTTTAGCTTTAACTAATACATCCTGTGAGAAGGTGTATGTCTCCCAGTTTTGGTTATAAGCAGTAGAAGTAGTAAGAGCAGCGGAAACAATCAGCGTATTGAGTCGCAACGGAATGATAAATGATAATGGGATGATAGAATGTTGATATCAGCTCCCCCTTAGAATTTGCTCCTCCTTATATAAGCAACATTTGAGTTGTTCTCCCCCTTAGATGTGTAATCTTCTTTCAAGAGTGTCTGCTATGAATGATCAATTAACAATGTAGCAGAACTAGATATTTCTCCCCCTTTTGGACAGCATCAATAAACATTGCCTTCCCTCTTTTTATTTTTATTTTTTTAAGGAGACAACAAGTAACCTGAAATAGAAAGAAAACATCAAATAAAGTTAGAGTATAAGATATATGTATCACACTATTGTGTTGTTGCAATAGTAGATCATTTACACAGAATTGCAAAGTCTCATCAGCATATGATAGAATCATAAAACTCTTAAGAAGAATAATAGAGCAAGAATGGGTTGGTGCGCGTGATAAACTATGGTACATAGTCTAACCATCAACACAGACATTCAAACTTTTATTGGTGTGTGTTTTTGCGTAGTGAATCAACAAGTTCTTATAAAGAAGACATGTAGGAAAGAATATGATGTCTCAATCACGCTGAGGTGAAATCAACATGAATCATTGACAGTGATAACTCATCAGCAATAAGTGGTTTAACCCATGCATCATAGAGTTAGTTGCAGTCTAGAATCAAAGATTCACTGTCAATTCGTAATGCTACCATGTCATACCTCAGTCTAGGAGGTCAAGGACATGAATAACCCTTTGTCATTTTAAGGACCTGACAAGTAACTCTTATGCTGTTGTCTATGCAATCAAGGTAAGCCACTGGGTAATGCTCAATGTTTCAGCAGAGCATAAGACTTGATGCATATGGCAAGCATGTTTCTAGGGACGGAGTCAGGTAAGAAACTATTAACCAAGAAAATAAACACCCAATCCTTATAATAATTTTCTAATCAGGACTACGCAATCTCACTATGAGAGTTTATAGAATGCTAGACAGTTAGCGTGAGTGGGCGACTTAATGTCATCTCAACTGATGGTCTCGCTGATGAGATACTTAGAGATATTTTAGGCACATATAGCAACATGCTTCTAGGCACACTATCTAGTCATAATTTACATACTTGGCTTATGAAATGCCACCATCAAAACATGAAAGTTACAATGATTTTAGCACAAGATACCAAACCAGATGAAGCATATGTTTCAACTTCAAAAACCATTTCTACATGCTTGTCAATATTCAGCTCATTTCCCTTTGTCAAACTTGCATGCTCCCCTAAGCTTGTGGTTCGTCAACAACTTTAGTTTCAGCTCATAAAGCATGAAATTTAGAACACATAGTTCACTGTTAAATAGTTCTAAAATGGTGCAATGAAATTGCAAATCTTGAACGAAACGTGTATTGATACATTATATGGATCGTCACCAAGACCCATTAGAAGCTAACCATCATGTGATCTAACGTCCATGCTATCACTTGTTCAACTGCATATTAGTGTCTGAGACAAAGAAACTTTGAACACAAAAAGATACAACTGTTAGGAGCTTTTAGGGCGTAAATAAGTTCTAATGTTCATAGATAATTTGAACATCAAACACAATGTTTTTATTACTTTATGCATTCTCCCCCTTATATTTCTATCAAGAGGATAAAAGATATGCCCCTAAAAAACTTTCCTGGGAAGATCTGCATAACATTTTTTTTAGATTTAAAGTACAACTATAAAAGACAAAATTTAAACAAATCAAAGAAAACATAAAAGATAATATTCAAACGAACTAAAATGAAATAAGTTTGACACATGTTTTTGATTTTTAAAAAAAAGAGAAATAAAAAAAAGAAACAAAAAATAAATATAAAAGATAAAGTTAAAATGCAATAATCTTAACAACTATGAATCAAAATATACAAACGAAAATTTATATTGAAACTTTCACTACTAGAAAAACTGCCTTTTACGACGCGCAATGCGTGTCATAAAACGCTCAGATGACGCGCAAATGCGTGTCAAGGAAACCCTTTTCATAACGAGAGACGACACGCTTTTGCGCGTCGTCTATTTACGACGCGCATTTACGACACGCATTTACGACGCACGTTTACGACACGCAATGCGTGTTAAGGAAGGCCGTGTCATAAAGGAAGATGACACGCATTTGCATGTCGTAACCTTACGACGCACATTTACGACTCGCATTGCGTATCATTAAAGCCCATGTCATAAAAAAAAGACGACACACATTTTTGCGTGTCATAAAGTTAAATGTTTTAAAAATTATATATTTTGATAGATTTAGTAATTTTCAAATTAAATAACACATTACAAATCTCATAATACAAAATAAAATACCATAAATAACAAAGATAATTCATTTCACTAATATGTCAAATACAAATAATTATTCCAATAGTAAGTAAATGTAATAAAAAAATGAACTCAAGAGAAGTAGAGTTTATATACAGTTGCATTATCTAGCTTACTATGTGCCAACAACTCTCTGTGTGTTTGCTTCTGCTTGAGTCTCGTTTCCTCCAAAGCTTCTAGCCATGCCAAAGTATTATATCTTAGGGTTCATGTCCAAATCAAGTAAAACATTGCTAGTTTAAATTCATCAAGTCCTTGGCGTGAAGTCTTAGATAGACGCTTAAGTGTAATCTCCAATCCTTCTAGCAGACCCTAGAGATCATTGTTGGCCATGTAGCAGGATCTGCCAAAATAATACACCAAATTAATCAGAAGCTGAGTTTCAAAGATGACATGACATCACAAATGGCATATAAACCGGAAACTGTATATGACATGAGTTATTCATAAAACAATAAATTTTCATATCTACAACATTGACCAGCTGTTGAGTATGGATAATATCTAAGCATCTCTGGAAAACAGGTTGTGAAAACCGTGCAAATCCACTACCCAATGCCTGAAAGACAATGAAACATGTTATTTTTCTAACAATAAATAAGTTGCAAAACAAAATTTAGTAACGGTTCGGCTTGGTTAAATTTTAATTTTCAACGGTTCGGCTTCGGTTTTTGATTGACAAAAATCATTGCTAATGGTTTGACTTTGGTTTGAGCTAAAAACCGAAAAAAAATACCGGACCATGAACACCCCTAATATTTGTTCTATAATCAGCAACTGCTTTTTCTGGCTTAACAAGTTCATCAAGTTTGACCTACAAAACTCACAAAAATGATAGTTGACTTTTTTTTTCTTTCCAAAATTGGTTACCTTTAAATCACGATCCACAACACAAACCCCATTTCTTAATCAATAGCAACCATTGCATTTTATCGATTTGCTTTAGCCTTTTTTCTCTCCTTTGTGATTATCCACCCCTGCAACAATACTCAAAAAGTTCAAAATTTTATAAACCAATTTTATTTTTGTATAGATTTGGTATGTTAGAAAGAGTATATATGTCAATAAACCTCATCTTTTAAATTGATTTGGTATTTTATTTTTTTATAGATTTGGTATGTTATAAATTACAAAATTAACCTGAGTCTAGAGGCTAGACACTGGTGATTGACAAAGGAACATCATTTAAATTTGCAGAAAAAAAAGTTAGAAATTTGGAAGAGTCTGAAGGAAATAACTTACAAACACATTCCATGGTGCCACTTTTAAATTGATACAACTCTGCTTTGTCTCCCCAAAACTTTCTGAACTTCAAAGCCTAGAAAAATATAAAATAAACTTAATACAATTAGCATATGTGATTGTGTGTATCAATACAAATTATTATATAAATAGTTAAATACCTCTTCTTTGTTTCCAAAAAAGGGCCCACCTGTGTACTCATCAAAGGCTTCTGGCAGGCTTACAGAAATTCCAACTGTTAATGCCTCTTTATCATCAATATTATTATTATTATAAGCGTACTCATGGTATATTGATTTGATTCATAAAGCATACAATTTATTACTTAAAAGCACATCGAACTCTGAAACTTGAGTCAAAAATGGATCTTTTGAGGACCCCACATTAACACATTTCACAACATACATAAACAGACAAACCAGAACGAATTCAGAGTTATCTTATTCATCTCTTCCAAATAATATCCAATCGCCTTATGTGAAGAGAAAACATATATATATATATATATATATATATATATATATATATATATATATATTATAAACAATCAAAAAAGAAGTAAGGATGAAACTAACTTGTAGGACCTTAGCTACACCTTCTGGATAAAATTCCCTATGTCTAGCAGTTCCTGGAAGTGGTTGGCCTTCATCATTTTCATCAACTTTCTCGTCAGCTTTCTCAGCTTCTCCCCCACTCCCCTTATCTGGAAATAGCATGTCGGTAAATGCTCACATTTCATGAAGCTTATTGCAAGCAGCTAAGCGAACCGCCTACATATCATATTACAAGAAAGAAATTAACTCAATAAAAGATGTCAAAGTGAAGTATAGATTAGAGACAGACATAATAATCCAAAAGACATGACATGGTTTTCATTTTCAGGTTTCCCTTCTCCAATATTAGGTGGTCCTGGTAGCTTGACGCGATATATCTCCTGTAATCACACCACATAACAATTATAGTGGTGAAGTTTGTGAGTTTATTGTTTGGTTTTGGTAGCTTACCTGGTCAAACCCGTTGACTGCTTCGACTAAAAAGGGTGGCTAAATCTACCGGTTCTTCCCGCTCTTCAACATAAGCCACCTTGGAGTGATTAACATGTTTCAATCATGGGTAATGCTGGAAGTCTTTTACGTAAAATCGCATATGGTTTATTGAGACAAGAGTATATTTTCGGATTTCTGTGCCTAGGTATAGCGATTTTTGCAAATTTGGTCCCAAAAATAATCATTTACTTGGAACAGTGTGACCAAGACCGTTACAAGAACGTAAAGACCAAAATTGCAAGAGAAAACTTGTTGTGACCAAATTTGAAAATACCAGCTACACTCAAGGACCAAATATAACAAAAACAAAAACAACCATATTAAGTTACTTACCAGAGTAACAAAATTAAGAAGGCTTTTTCCACATCTGCTCTTCGTACTTAGCTTTTGCATTATTTGGCCTTTCACCACTACACTTTCGACAAACAACAATTGAAAAACTGTTCATCAAGATGTAATGTTCATTTTTTGCTTTTTGGATCTTGTATGTGAGTCTTCGGAGTCCCCAATCACTGAATCTATGAACTCGGCCCTTTTTCTCAGTTAGAAACTCTTGATACAGAAATCTAATGATGATGAATCCGGTGATCAAGTGGAGAAAGAGAAGCAGCAGGCTGAGGAAGGTGGTTCTGCTTCAACGGAAAAAGAAAAGAAGAAGAAGAAGGATGTTGAAGCGGAAAAAGGGAAGCAGCACTCTGAATATGAATAATGTGGTCAAGAATCAGAACATGTGGATCCAAAATAGTTGTGAAATCTAATCTACAATGTGTTTGTTGATTCTAGCAATAAAATCATCAGCTAATTTGTTCAACTCTTCTGTGGGCAGAATTACTTCTTGATCGTTCTGTAACTCCTCTTGTTTTTGTTTCTCATGAACTCTTCAAGATTCAAAACACCTGCATATGTCAAAAAACATGTACCACCATCTTTCATTTTTATATGAATTGAAAACATATTCATCCCTTCAGTGAATTTTTATATGAATTGAAAACATATTGAAAACATTACCATTTGTTCCAGTTTCTTCATTTAACAAGCCATTTGTTTTCTCAGTGACCCATATTTGAAGTGGCAAGCGAGCTTCCTGCATATATAAATGGTTGCATACAGAGTTAATAGATATGAATGGTTGCATATAGAGGAAAAATTCACAAAAACAAAGGGCAATTATAATTTATAAATAGATGTTGAAATGGGAAGACAAACTATGTCAGGGAGTTTCTGCATTGATTCTCCATGTGGGTGTCCATCTTTCATATTTACATATTTTCCAGACATTTCACTTTTAACATGAATGGGTCTGTTTAAGACGTTGGGTTCCCCACGGATGGAACAGTTATTCCTAAAAGAAAATTTATGCAACCTCAGCGTATGACGTTTTAACTCCGTACAGAAACTCTACTAACGGTTGGTGTTCTTTATCAATTTTGGCCTTTTTTTCTTCTTCTGCCTTCACTTTTCTAATCTACGTAAATATGAAAGATGGACACCCACATGGAGAATCTCTGCAGAAACTCCCTGACATGTGATCCAGCAACAACAACAACCACCACCACCACCACCAGCAATGACACAGCTGGAGAATCGGGGTTTGTTACAGGTCCCCAGGTAAATGACCGTTTTACCCTTACATTATTATTTATAATAACAATATTGAGTTACATGTAGCATGTGCAGCCATCAAGGCCAAAGAGTTCATCTTCATCTTCATCATCAAAGCAGGAATCAAAGTCATCAAAGGAGAAGTGTACTGTGATGTGATGTGAAGAATTGGAGGTTTGTTTTGTAAATGTGTAGAATTGTAATTTCAACGTGGTTTTAAGTTTTAACATTTCCAAACATTCAAAGGAACAAGGCTTGTTCCCACACACAGACCCATGAACGACCTTGTAAAAATGATGACAAATTCTAACCTTGTGAACCATCTCCCACCATTTTTTGGACTTTGATTGCATTAAAAACCACTCCATGGCCATGTCATATTCAATAGTATTTAGTTGTGAAAAATGTGACATGGATACTGCTTCTTCCTGAAGAATCAATAAATCTCACATACATACATACATACATACATACACACATACATACATACATACATAGACATATATTGATAAGAGAGAAAGAGAGGGAATACCATCTCACGTTGATTGATTTTAATCCTATCAATAGAAAGATGGCCAAAAAACTTGCAAGTTTTTCTTGGTATGATTGGAGGACAAGGGGTACCAACCAGAGGCCTGTCAATAAAAAATGATAATTAAAATTTTTAAAATAAGATGAAAAAAACAAAAACAAGTTTCAATTGGACTTCAGGACTTCGAGCATTTGAAGATTCCTCTCAGAAAATTAGTTATGGCAACTAACAACTTCAGCAAAGAGTACATGATAGCGAAGGGTGGATTTGGGTTGGTGTACAAAGCCCAAAATGAACATGGAATTATCGCAGTAAAGAAGTTGGATCCTAGTTTTGGGCAATGAGAGCATGAATTCATGATGGAGATAGCAATGCTTTCAGCTTATACACATAAAAACCTTGTTTCTCTTGTTGGATTTTGCGATGAGGGTGATGAAAAAAATCCTTGTTTACAAGTATGAAAAGTAATGGGAGTAGTGTAGGGTACCTCACCATAAGATCAATGATTTTTTGTGCCTGTGGGTCCCCATATCACATCAACTGTCAGTCAAAATGAAGCTACAAGATATGAATAATAATAATCATCAATCATTTTAGGAATTAACAGTTAATACTTAATAATACATGTGTATCACCTTCAACCTCGTTTCTTATGTTTGTATAATTTCCATTGTTTCAGCAGAAACTCCACACCTTCTAATTTTTCCTTTCTGTTGTCTTTATTGTTCCAAAGCTTAGGCAATGGATATATGCCACCTGGATTGTATTCATTCATATCTTTTAAAGTTGTCACAACCGCATTATATTCACCTTCATCACTTTCATCCTTCAGCCTTGCAATCTTCTCATCTTCTTCATCCAGTATTTCCCGTTACATTCACACCAATATAATAATAAGTTAAAAAAAAAATGAAATGATGTTTTATTACATGTTAATTAAGTTCATACATACTTTGTAATCATCTCCAATGGTGATGACCTTAAATGGGTGCCAGCTTGGATCCCTGAGATGATCCTCCCATATTGACAAAAACTTGACTGTATCCTCTCTACTCAGACAACGCTTCTTGGCATCAACAATGAAAGGCTTTGCATCGAGACCCCCCATTCTTTTTACACCAATATACACACGACCAGATGCACATATTTCCTTCATACCCTGTTTCACACAAACAAACGTCAGGGATAACAGGTCACCTCATTCACATAGGCACGTCTATTTTTTCTTGCAACCAATCATTTTAAGTGGAACCTTCTATTCATAGAAACAGATGATCAGGACAGAGGGTATCCTAAATGAACACTTACAAACATTCTTAATGAATAATCAATTCATATTTCTCTCAATCGTTCCTAGCATATATGTAGCAAAAGGGGGGAAACATATATTTGGAAAATTGTATTAAACTTTTATCCACTAAAATTCGAACGTCATAAATGTTGGATAAGATATCTAAGTCCATAACTATTTCTGGTATGTACTTGACCCGACCCGGCATGGTCCATTTGGGTTGCATGACATCATGCATTTGGATAGACTTAATGAGAGAAATAACACTTGTGGTTTATTAATATATTATAAGTTCTAATATATATTAATAGTATTATTTAATTAGTATTGATCAAGAATTAATTTGTAATTAATTAAGTGATCAAAAGATGACTAATTAAATATATGAGTTGATTATGTAAATCATTCATAACTTGTATAGTGGGCTAAAAGACTCCATGAATTATCAAGTTGGGTTAAACCCATTGGATGCTCCATGGAGGCTCCATGGGAGTTACAAACCCATGGGTCATGGACATGAAGAGTCATGTCACATTAGGGTTTACATGGTGTAACCCTAGATGTGACACACTATATAAAGACTTATGTTACTCACCAAAATTGGCTACACTAAGAACAAGTGAGGGCAAGCCAATTTTACAAGTGTTCTATATTCTCTCAAAGTCATTCCAAAGCATTTGGTGTTGTGTGAAACATTTGAGGCATCACACTTGGGGTGCTAGGCTCTCAAGGTTTTCAAGGAATCATAACAACTACAAGGTATGTAATTCTAGCCATCTTTTATGATTAAAGTTCCCCATGATGCTAGATAGGTTTATGAACCTTGGAAAAAGTATTTTGCATGTATTTTAGACAAACATAGATCCAAGGTTTTCTAAGGTTGCATGTACACTTAGGAGTGTTAGAATGCTCAAAACCCATCAGTGGTATCAGAGCTTAGGCTTGTTTGTTTGATACTTTATGCAAATAGTGAAAAAGTCGATTTTCTTGTTGTCTGCATGATGAACTCGCCGAGTCCATGGGGGGACTCGCCGAGTCCATGACCAAACTCATCCTACTCGTCGAGTAGGTTCGTGCACTCGACGAGTAGGAGCCTCAGAATGCATATTTTCGACTTTTGCTGCTGGAAATGGACTAGAAACATTACCCTAAACTGTTTTGGTGTTATTAAACTTGTTTTAGATGGTGTAATGATTGTTCTAATCCATTTACAATGGATAATATCAAAGTTACATGATTATATGTGTTCATATGTTCTTGAAATTTTGATATGATTATTCATGTTCTTATGAGTTCTTGATAGATCATAGGAATTACTTGATTAATGTTGAATTCATGATCTTTATGTGTTTTAATGGAGTCCATAACTTGTCCTCAAGTTATGGATAACCAAAAGTCTCTTTGTTTAATTCCATTAAAAGAACACACAAGTTACAAAAATGAAGAGTCGTTATTTTAATAACTCATAAGTTATGAATTGAAAGGTTTTGTAAAGTTACAAAACTTGCGCTCAAGTTTTGGAACATGTAAAGCCATCTTAATAAACTTTAGTTCCAACCCCTAGAATTTTAAAAGTTAAAATTCAACCCTTATACTTTATAATATTATAAGTTAATAATATATATATATGCATAAGATCAATGTTGTTTTACCGTTAGTAGGCCTCATTCACGAAGCCGGTCTATAAGGGGGGTATAAGGTTGTTGCCTATAAAATGGCAGCTTAATGGGTGTCCACTCTCACCCACCGCTTCCTTGACTGGTGGAGGGTCGTTAGCCGAACGGGTAGGACAATGACTTAAAAATTCTCATTAAAAGTATAATGATTATTATAAAGTAACTAAATGTTTTATAAATTCCCAATCTTAGTTACTTTAGGAAAATGTGAATAAGGTGCTAACCCATGAAATTACACTTTGCACTTTGATTAAGTCGTTAGTGGAGCGTGTGTGGTTAACCGACACACTAACTTGGACTTAACAAGGTAGGCAAAGGGTGACTTAAGGTTTTTCATAGGTCGGTGGAGCGCGTGTGGTTAACCGGCACATCGATTAAGTGAAAAACATTAAGGGTACCAAGTAATTTGCATGGTTACTTCACACCTTGTTTTGTGATCCTCGGTATCCCAGTCACAAAACATGAAGGGCACACTCGAGATTGAAACATGCCATTGAAAAGTTCAATGAATCTCAAAAGAATCTAGGAGTTTCTAAAAACCAAATAAAACCTAATAATTTATATTTCGTTTTCATGGTGGAAATTGGTGAATCGTCATTCACCTACCTTTCAAATATGTTTTAGCTTAGATTACGACATCCCTCTTCTAAGTTATAATATATTGTGATTGGATCCTAGCCTTAATATTACATTTGGGTGTTTTATTAAGGACTATCTTTATATCTAAACTAAACTTGTCTTTTCTTCTTTTCAGATGTCTTCCAACAATGCTGCTCCTGGCTCAAACCCCACTGGCTCCTTCTCTCTCATGAACCTTTGTGGGAGAGTCATCTTTGATGGATCCAACTTTACTGATTGGATCAGAAACATCAGGATGGTCACTCGATACGAGAACAAAGAATATGTTCTCGACAAGGAGCTTAAGGTACCCGAGCCGACTGCTACTCCTGAGGAGTTTGCTGAATATGAGGCACATGAAAGAGATGCTACCAAAGTGGCATGCATCATGATGGCCACTATGACAGCCGAGCTCCAAAAGTCCTATGAGGACTACTATCCTTTTGAGATGCACCAGGATTTGATGGACCGCTACCATCAGAGTGCTCGTCAAGAGCGATATGAAATCATCTCCTCCATGATAACAACCCGAATGAAAGATGGTGAACCCATCACGGGCCACATGCAGAAAATGCAAAGGTTTGTGGACCGTTTGATGAAGTTGAATGTGAACTTCCCAGAGGAGTTAGCAATAGATATCATTTTGCACTCCTTACCTTCGTGTTATGATCAATTCCGCATGACATACCACATGAACAAGGACGAAGTTACACTTAGAAAACTTTAAGGACTTCTAAAGACCGCAGAATCAGGTCTTAAAGGTAAGTTGGTTGTTACCACTTTTACTCCTACTCCAAACTCCGCACCTGTCCTGGCAATCGGGAAAGGTAGAGGGAAGAAGAGGAAGAACCCTTCGAAGGGTACCAAGGGTAAGACCCTTGATGGCTCCTCTTCAAGCGGAACCAAGAAAGGTTTCGTCACTCCTTCTGCTGACCCAAAAGAGGCTGAATGCTTCTATTGCCATGAAAAGGCACACTGGAAGCGGAACTGCCCAAAGTACCAGCAAGATTTGAAGGATGGGAAAGTGAAACCCAACCATGCAGGTATTTACACTATATTATCTAATAACTCACCTATTCTAACTCTTGGGTCCTTGATACCGGTTGTGGTATTCATATTTGTTCTGATTTGCAGGGACTAAGAAGAAGTGAGAATGTGGAGCATGGAAAGATAAACTTGATCATGGGGAATAGGAAAGTTTCACCTGTCACCAAGATTGGAGTTTATACTTTGTTGCTAAGTAGTGGGTTTACTTTAGATTTGAATAAATGTTGTTATTCGCCTGAAATGGCAAGAAATGTTATTTCCTTTCATGCTTTGTACAAACAAGGTTTTACCTTTTCTTTTGATAATGAAGTTGGTGGAATAAATGCTTTCTTTAATAATGTGTTTTATTTTAAAGCATTACCTTGTGATGGTGTGTATGAAGCTGTGTCTGTTGTAGATAATTTAGGAAATAATGTGTTGTGTATTGATTCTACTAATGATAATAACTTGGATAAAGCATCATTATGGCATTGTCGTCTTGGACATGTAAGCAAGAAACGCATAGGCCAACTCCAAAAGGATGGAGTCTTGGAGTCATTTGACCTAAAGTCAGATGATAGTTGTGAATCATGTTACTTGGAAAAATGACAAAGTCACCCTTCACAGGTTCTTGTGCTAGGGGTGAAGGTTTGTTGGATCTAGTGCACACGGATGTGTGTGGACCCTTCAAAACTGCCACAAGGGATGCTAATCGTTATTATGTGACTTTTACAGATGATTATAGTAGATATGGATATGTCTACTTAATCAAGCATAAGTCAGAGACTTTCGAAAGGTTTAAAGAGTTTAAACAGGAAGTCGAGAATCAATTGGGCAGGAACATTAAGATGCTTCGATCCGATCGTGGTGGTGAGTATCTTAGTACAGAGTTCCTCGACTATCTTAGGGAATGTGGGGTTGTCTCACAATTGACACCTCCCAGGACACCACAGTTGAATGGTGTAGCTGAGAGGCGTAATCGAACCTTGTTGGACATGGTTCGTTCCATGATGAGTCGAGCTTCGCTACCAATCTCATTCTGGGGGTATGCCTTAGAGACTGCCGCCCATATCCTTAATCTGGTCCCTACAAAGAAGGTTGCCAAAACACCTCACGAGATGTGGACTGGAAAAGTTCCTAGTCTAGCCCACATCAAGATTTGGGGTTGCGAAGCTTTCGTGAGACGCGAGACTCACGACAAGCTCGAACCTCGAAGTGAGAGGTGTATTTTCATCGGCTACCCACAAAAATCCTTTGGTTACCTCTTCTACAGACCCAGTGAGAATGTGGTCTTTGTAGCAAGGAGGGGTGTCTTTCGAGAAAGAGAGTTCATAAGCCAAGGAAACAGTGGGAGGCAAATTGACCTTGAAGAAATTCAAGAGTCAAGTGGTGAAGGAACCTCAAACCCTAGCAGTCAACCTGAGGAGGAAACTCCTGTTGATCCAATTGACAAGTCTGTACCTCTGAGGCGTTCCACAAGGGTTAGGAATGCACCTGAGCACTACTATGGTTTCCATATTACTGCGGAAGGTGAGACATTTATCA